AAAAAAAAAAAAAAAAAAAAACATTAAAAACTCATATGTTCTACATTTTATTTCGTTCATGTAATAATTCAGACCCCGATTTGATAGTTTACCCATCTTTCGGGTCAATTAATTAATTTATTTTTACTAAACTTAATCCAACAAAAAACATTTACCACCATGTCCGTCACACGTGCACTTTACTAATTTATTTTTTATTTAATTTATTATTATTATTATTATTTTTTTGTTTAAGTGTGTGAAGAGAATGTTTTTCATTGATTAATTGAAGTTATGCAATACAATCCTATATTTAGAATGAAACCTAAAAATGGATATGGTCAAGATATAAAGGAGTTGAGACTGAGAACTAGTGCAGGGCAGCTACCACAAGACATTTCATCATGCATGCTTCTTGATCCTTCTTGTAATATAACTCACAGTTTGTTTTGTTTTCCCTTTAAACCCTCCAAATTGCCAATCACCCAAAATCCAAACTCCACTCACAATAACAAATCCTCCAAATAATCGAATAGTAGAGAGACTTTTGATATCCCCCAAATCCCAATGCGCTCATCTCATGTGGTTTGTTTTTGTTTATTTGGGTATTAGAACCTGCCCTTTACACGTGTTTAAAGTTAAAGGTACAGTTCTTATTTGAACCTCATTAAGCAAAGTGCTTCTTCTGATACCTTTCTTGAGCCGGCCACCACCTCTCAGACAGGACAGCCAAAAAAGGTACACTCACAAAACCCATTCTTTCCTTAAATTGCTCCATCCACTGAACCCCAATACCTGTTACTTTGGACAAAATAATAACAAAGATACCAACTTTAGCTTCAACTTCTGGATAATACATAACTAATCAATTTTTTGAGGTTGTCTTAATAGTAAAAGTATTTGTATGGGTCATCTGGGCAGTAACTGTGCATATGTGCTGGAAATCTCAGCTTGTGTTTTGTTGTTTTTCATGGTTGGAAATACGGTGGACGGCATAGGGGTGAACTGGGGAACTCAGGCCAGCCACCCTCTGCCGCCGCGAGCCGTGGTGAAGCTGCTCAAGGACAATGGGATACAGAAAGTGAAGCTGTTTGATGCAGATGATGGGGCTTTGAGGGCACTTAGTGGGTCAGGGATTGAGGTCATGGTTGGGATTCCAAATGATATGTTGGCCACAATTGCTCATGACATGAGTGCTGCTGAGAGATGGGTTGAGAACAATGTTTCTGCACATATATCTTCTCACAGTGTTGATATCAGGTGATTACTTCATTTTTTTCTATTTAACTTCATTTTCATTTATTCACAAGTTCTACAGGTGCTAGCTGCTCTTTGCCCTTGTCTGGGTGCCTGTTAGCTTCTGGGTTTTGAGTCTGACCATCTTTTCAACATATTCATTTTCCTCTTCACTTCCCCCCATAAGGTACGTAGCGGTCGGGAACGAGCCCTTCCTGTCAACCTACAACGGGACATTCGAAAACACGACCTTCCCTGCCCTGCAAAACATCCAGGCAGCCCTCGTCAAGGCCGGCCTCGGCAACCGTGTCCACGCCACCGTCCCCCTCAACGCCGACGTCTACCAGAGCACATCTCAGCTCCCCTCCTCGGGCGACTTCCGCTCGGACATCCGCACCCTCATTCTCCAAATCGTAACCTTCCTCAACCAGAACGCCTCCCCCTTCACCGTCAACATCTACCCCTTCATCAGCCTCTACAACGACCCCGCATTCCCCCTTGACTATGCCTTCTTCGACGGCTACTCGTCTCCCATCGTCGACGGGCCTCACACCTACACCAACGTCTTCGACGCCAACTACGACACCCTCGTGTGGGCCCTACACACCAACGGCTTCCCCAACATGACGATCATCGTGGGTGAGGTCGGATGGCCCACCGACGGGGACCGAAACGCAAACCCCGGGTACGCCCAGAGGTTCAACCAGGGTTTCTTGTCCCGTGTCAACCGGGGGACTCCTATGAGGCCGGGACCTATTGATGCATACCTTTTCAGCCTTGTGGATGAGGACGCCAAGAGCATCCAGCCGGGGAACTTCGAGCGCCACTGGGGGATTTTTTATTACGACGGTACTCCAAAGTACAATCTCAGCCTCGGCCCGGGTGGTGGTGCGGTGGTGGCGGCACAGGGAGTTCGCCGCCTGCCGAGGCAGTGGTGCGTGATGGCTGGTGAGGCGAGCCTGGACGACCCGCATGTGGCCAACAGTGTAGGCTACGCGTGCGGTCACGCAGACTGCACGAGCCTCGGGAACGGGAGCTCGTGCGGGGGGCTGGACGCCCGGGGGAATATCCCGTACGCTTTCAATTCCTACTACCAGATTCAGGACCAGCGGGAGGATGCGTGCAGGTTTGCGAACCTTTCGGTGGTCACCACACGAGACCCATCAGCCGGGACCTGCAGGTTTGAGATCATGATCGACACGCGGGGCGGGGAGAGCGGTGGGGTCGAGTGGGGCTCTCCTGGGCTGGCGGTTCGGGTGCTTGTGTTGTTGTTGGTCCTTTTCGTGTACTGCGACAAAGGGTTCGTTTTTTTTGCCTGTATATAATGGGATGCTATGTGCTAAGTACAAACTGGTCTATGTTTATTGTGTGCTGCTGCAATCACATTTATTAAGTTGACAGATATCATACCTGGGTAAAGTGCAACAAATAGCATATAGTTCACAGGAGGGAAATATGTCTTTTCAAAGTCTAGCAGGCACAGGATAAAAAATAAAAAATAAAAAAAATTGCAATTTACAAGATTCGGCATTTATAAGACGGAAACTTAACAACGGAATTTATTGCTACTTCAATTTTGTGGTGAGAATAATCTGTCGCTGCATGAAATCAAGATGAGGACTATAAATATGCCAACTCTTTTTCTTCAAATGGAATTTATATACATACACAAGTGTTCTACAATATGCAGCTTCCTTGACATAAATCCATGGCTGAGTTAGCTTAAACCATGCTTCTGAAGGTGAATTTTCGACCTAATGTCCGCCTGAAAATGAGAAGAGACGAGAAGATCTGTTCAGGTCAAAATCATTAAGTAAGATAGGTTTATACATGCGTGACACTGTAACTGCATCTTTTGAGCAGTAAAAATGAAAAATCAGTACTCCCATTTTCTTCTGCTACAGAAGTGGGTTTATCATTGGTTTTTCGAAAAAATTAACATGCATCATTTTAGGACTGAAGTATACGAAGTGATAAAACAATGGATTCGGCTTTTTCTCGATTTCAGATGTGGAGGGCAAATTATGTACATAATTATGGTAAAATTTAGGCATACAGTTTAACTCATTTTTTTTTTTCTTCTTATTTTGTGCAAAAATACAGTAACTTTTTAGAGTTATCACTTACCAGATCCATTTACTAGGTAGTTCGTAGGTACCTTCATAATGTGACAAATGGAAACTCAGCCATACCTGCCTAATGGGTTCCGGGACCCGAAATTTGCAGGATAGCTTGACGATTAGGGTGGCAGTGGCAAGAGATATACGGTGACCAACTGAAATAAATATGGGCTTCATGGAGCGTTCAGTCGATCGCATAGCCTGTGCCACAAATTCAGGACATGTTAATGCTTTCAACACTTGAAATGATAGGAAGTGCTTTCACTAAAGAGCTCATACATCCATTACTTTTGTAAGGAACAACGAATAACATGACATCTACTTCTATTAAAACTTGGTCCCATAAATTTGTATTAGGAAATAGAGATAAGAAGAGGAAAGACAGGAGAAATTAGAGAAGAAGAAGAAATATACGTACATATGAACAAATTTGCAATTTATAACTCAAGGTGAAAGACAGGGGAGAAATTAGAGAAGAAGAAGAAGTATAGGTACATATGGACAAAATTGCAATTCATAACTCAAGGTGGAAGATCATATATTTTTCCCTCACATAGGATGAACTTATATTAACAAACAATCAACTCAAGGGAACGATTGATAGTAGGGCAATGATATGTTACGTACAGCCCCTAAGGTGGAACCAGAGTTGCCGATCAAAGGGACAATATCACTACATGAGTTTCCGTTAGCTTCCAGCTGTTTTCTCACACTATGTTGGGAAAGACCATCAACGTGATGTAACTGAAAAAAAAAATCAGTTTACAAGTGAATCAAAAGGGGAAATAGAAAGATGAAGAGAAAAAAGAGAACGAGCGAAATAAAAGATACTTAGGATTATGTCTTGACTTATAGCAAGATTTTTTGCTAAACCTTACATTCTTTCCAATTCCAATTGTAGGTAGATCAGCCAAAACACCGAGATGACAAGCCAATCCAAATCCTAAAAGTCCATCCAAGGATTTCAATAGAAAACAAATATACATTATCGTAAAGAGATATCTTCAGTTATAAGTTGGAGAAGCAACAAGCATACAGCAGTACAGCAGAGAAGTTTAATAAATTTCAAAAATTAATGCACAAAATGTTATCATTGAGTTTATCTACCCTGAGGAGACTGAAATATGACTTGCCTCGTGGATGTAGTAGGCCATTACCATCAACCATCAATACCTGTCCAAATAGTTACACTTAATAAGTTCCGAAAAAGAAAATGGCGTTAGCTTTCAAATTTAGCAATACCGATAATTAGTAGCCAATCACAGGCACCTCCCACGATCCATTACAGCTCTTTTCGTTAACTCACGTAAAAGTATTTCGCCTAATATGACATGAAAAATGTGGACAAGGTAACTAGTCACCTGGGGATATGATGCAAGTCTTTTCTTCTGCATTTTCTCGAGAAGTTCTATAAGCACAGGGGCCTGAAAGTGGAACACGATAAATTATGTGCAGCTTTTGTTTGCAAAAAGAATCTACGATCACCTATTCAGAAGCCAAGCTAATTGGTAACTATCTGTTGACCTCTAGAATACCAAAGCATGCTGCGCCTAACATCAAAGTCAAATACGGCTATCAATCCAAGAGAACAAAGCCTGTAAATTATTTCCCGTATCAATTGCGTCAACATGGAGCTTTGCCTACTACCTCTACACTCGATGTTGAATGGACTACATGCATAAAGATGTGGAAAAAATGTGGAAGTACAAGGTTAGCAAGATATAGGCACAGCAAGAACATTGAGTATAGCAAAACTGCCCTTTTGGTTTGATATTACGATTAATTTAACATTGCCCGGAGGACAGCACACACACTGGCTATATCGTCAAGAAAGCCACTTAGCAAAGAAAAATATGTCAACTGTACTAAAAAGAAAAATCTGAAACTGGGTTAGCATATGTGACCTCTCTAAAAGCTAAGAAACCAGGAACATAAGGGACTCTGAGCTCATCTATGGCGCAGTCTTCATAAACAACTTCAAGAGTGGAAAAATCCAAAACCACAAGCGAAGCACAAGCAATTGAGGGGTCATTTTTGGAGAAACTCAGGTCAACCCCACCAACAAACTTGAGGACTTCACTTCCGCCGCTGCCCAAATCTTGATTTTCTCGGTGTCTTAACTGTGGTACTTTCCAGGTGAAACAATCCTCCTGGATAAGCCTTTTCTTGAGTGATTCTTGAATCCTGCATTTGGTGCTCGGAGTGATGCATGGGCGACAATTCTAGAGGCAAAAATTATAAAGAGAGAAGAAAAAAGTGAAGATTGAACAGTTTAAAGGAGGTCAAATTTGTGTTACTCAATCCATATTTGCGGAAGTTGGGGTCTTGAGGTGGAAGATTGCTGCTCCATGGCTGGTACCAAAGATGGGAAAATAATAATGTAGAGCCTCTCTTAATTGTTCGCAACTGAAAATCATGAATGACATTCAATTCTCGATGGAAATTATAGGGATGGCAAAACTGTCCTGGACCCGGCCCGAACTTGCCCGACCCGGAGCATTTGGGGTGGCCAAACCTGCTCCGTTTCTAGAACGGGAGGCCTGGCCCGACATGTTAATTGAGTCGGGCTAGGTCCGGATCTTTTTTCTCGGCCTGTCCCGACCCGACCCGTCTCGTCCCGATCTTATTTATTTATTTTTATATAAATTATACTTGTCGGGTTATGGACTCATATTTAGTCTAAAAATACAGTGAAAATTTGTCATTAATTGTAATGATCAGTGAAGTTCATGTTCAATGGATACAATTTTTAATTTTTAATTTTATTCGTGTGATGTAATTTTTAATGAATATTTATTTCTTTGATTTTATTAGGTATAATTAATTTCATTACATAAAGTCTATTGAATTTAAAAAATAGTGTGGTTTAATTTGTAAAATTGTAAAATATGTGGGTAGTATTGAAAAGTTATAAAATTTGGTGTAAAATAGAATATTTTGAAAATATTCTTTTGGGTCTGAATATGGGTTTTTCAGTTGGAGATGAATTACTGCAAAATGGGACATTTGCTGCAAAATGAGTTTTAAGTATGAGTTTTTCGGTTAGAGATGACCTTAAATGTACAAATTTTATATAAAAAATATTTAAATTTGTTATATTTATATATATTTATATGACAAAAATACTCTAAATATAATTTTAAAAATTTAAAATTAATTATCCAGTTCAACATTTAACTCGTTAACCTGACGGTTGAACCCATGACCCGAATCGATCATTAAAAACTGTGGAATTTCCCTATATCATGTGTAGGTAGTTCGTGAAATTGAACCGGGATTTGAATACCACGTAGACCGCTGCATGAGACTTTTTTGACATCTGTACATGGAAATTAAAGTCAGCTCCCATGGAAATTAATTACACAATAACTCAGCTCTGTGCTCCCTTTACAGAACAGAGAGAAGAAGAAACCTGAAAATCAAGTCAAAAGAAATATGAGCGAAAAGGAGGCGGAGGTTCACGTCGTGATGCTCCCATGGCTGGCGTTCGGCCACCTCATTCCCTTCTTCGACCTCTCCACCGCCTTAGCCAAATCCCGCATTCACGTTTCTTTCCTCTCCACTCCAAGAAATCTCCAAAGACTCCCCCAAATCCCCCAATATTTATCCCCTTTCATACACTTGATACCCCTTTCTCTCCCAAAGCTCCACTCCCATCCCCTGCCCGAAAACGCCGAAGCCACCGTCGACATCCCGTCCGATCAAATGCACAGCCTCAAAATAGCCTATGACCATCTCCAAGCCCCCATCAAGAGTTTCCTAGCAAATAAACTCCCAGACTGGCTGATAGTGGACTTTTTCCCAGATTGGGCAGTCGATGTTGCTCGAGAGTTGAAGATACCCTTAATTACAAACTACGTCGCAAGTGCCAGCACCGCCGTGTTCTTCGGGACACACGAGGGGGACCACCGATCGCCTCGGGATTTAATGGCCCCCCCAAAGTGGGTCGACTTTCCCTCAAAAGTCTGTTGCAGGGGTCACGAGGCGGGCACGATGCACGGCGTCATGTACGGATTAGATGCCATGGGAAAGTCGGCAGGGGATCGTTTGGGGAGATTGGTTAACGGCAGCCGGGCCGTGGCCATACGCACGAGCCCGGCGTTCGAGGCCGACTACCTGAAGCTGCACTCGGAAATTACCAAAAGGCCGGTCTTCCCGCTGGGTTTTCTTCCGCCCGAGAAATCGAAAGGGACTGGAGGAAGAACAATCAAAGACGGGCCGTGGAGTAACGTTTTCGACTGGCTAGACGGGCAAAAACCGGGTTCTGTCGTGTTCGTCAGTTTCGGGAGCGAATATAAGCTCAAGAAAGAGGAGGTTCTGGAGATAGCACACGGGCTCGAACTTTCCGGGCTTCCCTTCCTGTGGGCTCTGAGAGAGCCCAATCCGGACGAGGCTCTGCCGCTGGGCTTCGCCCGGCGGACGGCGGGGAGAGGGGTTGTTCAGACGGAAGGGTGGGCCCCACAGAGGGAGATCCTGGGGCATCCATCGATAGGGGGCTCTCTGTTCCATTCAGGGTGGGGTTCCATCATAGAGACGGCAATATATGGACATTGTCTTGTGCTTTTGCCGTTTGTGATTGACCAGCCGCTGAACGCGAGGCTGCTGGTCGACAAGGGACTGGCCGTGGAGGTGGAGAGGGACGAAGACGGAACTTTCACAAGGGATGGCATTGCGAGTTCTTTGAGGAAAGCTATGGTTTCGGAGGAAGGGGAGAGATTGAGGGCGCGTGCCAAGGAGGCCGCTGATGGGGTTTTTGGGAATAGGAAACTTAACGATGATTGCATTGGGAAGTTTGTCGACTATCTGAAAAGTGGGGCTCAAGAAAAGGTGGAGTTGGTGTAGGTGTTTCATGGTGTCTTCAGGTTCTTGTGTTTGTAATTGATTCAGAATAAGAGACTCAGAGGAACTGCATTTCCTTTTCCTCTCACTCACTTCAAATAAGTAATTTGCTTGTTCTTGCAGTTACCCTTCATTCTTCATCAACCAGTGGCAGTCACACATCCAAATCCTAACATTGACTCAATTTCTGGTAAACAAGAACCACATCATGATGCAACACATAATTTTCCAACCCCAGAAAATAATAGAAGTAGCTCACCTGCCAACTTATCTCCAGAATCTGTTTCGTCTCGTGCTACAATGCCGTTCTTTGTTGATTTGCCTATAACTCCTGATGAAACTACTTCACATAAGCACAAAAGCACCAACTTACATCCTATGATCACAAGATCAAAAATAGGAAACCAAAGACCTAAAGAATTTTCTTCATCCCTAAACCCTGAGTCCAAAAATGTTCAAGAAGCAATGCATAGTGATGTGTGGAGAAATACAATGAAAACAAAATAGCTTCCCACATTAGAAATCAAACAGGGTCTCTAGTAAAGGCAAGAATACTATTAGATGTAAAGTGGTTTTGGGACTAAAGAAAAACTTAAATAAGAGCAAAGTGTTTGTTATGTTTTTGTTCTTATTTTGAGTTTTTAATTTGGTGAGTCAAGCCATTTTTTAGGCTCTTAATTGTGTTTTCCCGCTTCATTTTGTCCGTTTTAGTATTTTTAGCTTTTGGCCGCGATTGTGTATTTTTTGTTTTCTTTGTGCATTTCCAGCATTTTTGTAGGTTCGAGAAGAAAAAAAACTTAGTGCCAATGTGTCGTGCCAATCGAGCTTTTATTTCAGTCCAATGCGAGCGTGACGAAATTCCATCGAACATGCTTATCATTTGAAACCGAAGAGGTGTGCAGATTTTGTGCTAAGAATTAGAGGCAATCGAACGTGCGTGCGATTTTTTCGAATGAACCAAGCGTGCAGCACTCGCGGACCGCTGCCCAACTCAAGGGTCGCGAGGAAGCACTCGCGGGCAGCTCCCAGCTAGCGACGCACTCGTTCAAACAGAGCGCCCGAGCTCGCTCCGTGAGCCAAAGCTCATGTGGCTCGCTACTTTGTACTCATTGAACTCACGACGCTAGCCAGATACTTTGCTCTACTGTGTGCTGTTCTACTTGTCTTCAACTGTTAGAATTTGAGTGTAAGGGCACTGATTGCTGCTCTAAGTGGCATCAAAACGGTCATACCAATTTTAGATGTTGATACACCATTACTCCGAACTTTTAAAATGCTCAGGTGGAGTCAATCATGTCCAGTTACAATGTTGGAGAAGTCCATACGGGGTGGGTCAAAAACCGAGTCCAAAACCCAACTCGTTTCGGATTTAATTTTGAGCCACATATTTATAAATAAATTTACAGTAAAAAGATTATAGTAGATGGGTCCAACACTCGTGCTCGATTTCGAGCCGAGTCCGCCTATGGGCGGGCACGAGCGCGTGTAGCTGAAGTCATCACTAACACTTGGTGCATAGTATTTTTTTTTTTTTTTTGTGGTGATATCTCCAATATAAGTAAAGAGAGTTATCCTCATTTAGGAGTCCAATGCCAGTGTGAGATAAGACTATTGAACCTTTGAATCCTGCAACCATCGTTTTGTCATCTCATTAATGGCTTTTATTTTTCACTCAACGAAAAACAACTTTGATAAAATAAACATACCACGATTATCTCGCAGCGGCATATTGACCACCGGAGACACGATTGATCTCTCCTCAGCCTCTTCACGCCTCTTACTTCTAAACACAGAGAGCACCGAATGGTGCTGCTCCACTACTCTGTTAGGTTGCTCCACCACCAGATTGGGTTACGCAACCACCAAGCTAGGTTGCGTCACAGCCGCGTGAGGCTGCTCCACTACAACTGTAGGTTGAGTATTTTGTGACCTACCAATCATCTTCGCAATGATCCAGTCTATTTCCATCTTGGTGAGCTGAATGACTTGCTCACCTCCATGTACACCTGTCGACCTGTAGTCGCCACAACTTGAGGTTTTGACGGAGCTCCCTTCTATCCCACAACTTGAGGTTTTGACGGAGCTCCCTTCTATCCTCCTTGGACTAGAACATCATTTCCCTGCCTGGTTTTGAGGTGTTTTGAGCTCACCTGATCTCCCTCCCGCGTTAAGACATGACCCAGACAAACTTGTCCTGGGGGTCAGGGGCGGATTTACACAGTGCCGTAGGGGCACGGGCCCAGGGCCGTCTCCAGAAATTCGGAGGCCCTAGGCAAGTTTTTTCCTTTCGAATTTTCTCGATTTGAACTTACGTGGTAATTAGGACTATTCGCAGATAGAACCATAAATTTTAACGAGACTATTAAATAAATAAATAATTAATTGAAAAAAAAAATCTTGCTTTTTTGAACTTAGAAATGATAAATTACCTCCGGGCTACAAAGATCTTTAATAAATTCCAATCAACTAATCACGAGGACAACAAAGAGAAGAAAATAAAAATCGTATCACTACAAAGAATATTTATTTTCACACAACTTGTTTTGACCGAACATCATACGAAAACAAATAAAATATTTAGGGCCTCAATTTTCCACACAAACTACATATTTTGTCATTAGCTCCTTTATTTGTGTAATAGCTCAAGTCGATATTTAGCCATTAACACTCTCATTTGTGTAAATATTGTGTAATTATACAAAATCCAAAACAAATACATAATATTAAAATAATAATGAGACCTTATTTGTGTAGATAGACAAAACTCAACATAAATACATAATATTAAAAAAAAAATAATGAGGCCCCAAATAAAATAGAGGCCCTAGGCCCATGCCTAGGTTGCCTCCCCTCTAGAGCCTCCCCTGCACGGGCCCCTGTAGAATTATTTATTAATATAGTATATATATGTTATATGTATAAAGATATTATTATATTACAAAAAAATACATGTTATTAATTATTAAGCAAAGTTATTTCAATAATAAAAATGAAATATTTAGAATTATTTAACCTTCAATAGTATTTTATTTTTTAAGTTGTGGTATTATTCTTATGTTATACTCAACTTCTTGTTTATTTTCTTTTTCCCTTCTAAAATACATAAAAAAATAAATATTATACATAAATGTATATACTATATAGAGATTGGATCAAATGTGTCCTTATTCTTAAAATGAGAATGTGAGACTCAACTGTAGCTATTAATAAGAAACAAGGTGTCTAGTCAAGATTCAATCTTTTTATTTTTTTTAATTGGTTAAATATTGATTTGATCGTTGACCTTCGAGTTTTGACCGAAAACCATAGTTTGTGCCCCCGTTGTCCTTAAAGTTTGCGTCCACCCCTTATGGGGGTGACTAGAGCTACCCTCTCACCGGACTATCCAATCCATGGTCCCACTCCAAATAGCGATTTGCTTACCTAAGCATCCTCCAAACTGTTGTTGAGGTTCTTTCTCCAACCTCCGTCAGCCATTGTTGTCTTCTTCGGCGTATGCTCTCTTGAAACTGGTAGAGAAATGGTAAATAAACGGTCATATGTTGATGCACCTCGAAACTAATCTTCCGATGGTTTTCTCAAACCGATTTTCTCGCCGGAGACCTGCAAAGACGCCGAGAGGTGTTCCTAGCGTTAAACCTCCGACGATCAAGTCAATAAAGAATTATGAGAAGTTGTATTGAACTGTATGGTAAAGCTTTAAGTGCATAGAATGATTAACCTTTTACCTTTCATACCTCTCACCTAATTATAGTGAATCGTTGGCTTATTGAACAAACTTTACCTATTTGCCCAAAGGCATGCCCAAGTACCCAAACTACCCTAAAGTCTGCCCGACGATTATCTTGTACCCGTGAAGTCTAGGTCCTTCGTCCACGTGTACCCTGCTAGTAGGCCTATCTATCTCTCATCCGCAGGCCAATCAAATATACTATCAGTAAGTCTTTCACATACATGACTCATAGGTCCACCAAATCCATCTATCAATCGGTCTGCCTTGTTTATAGCTCCTCATGTGTTAAGCCCTCATAGGCCTCTTCGGTATCAGTAGGTCCACCAATCTTACTACCTTAGATACATTACAAGTAGGTCCACCAACCTACTACCTATAGGTCCCTTACATACCCATATATACTATCAGTAGGTCCTCCAATCTTACTACCTTAGATACATTATAGGTAGGTCTACCAACCTACTACCTACAAATCCCTCACATACACATACTTAGTAGGTCCACCGCCTACTTGTCCTTAGGTCCTTAGATACATTACTAGTAGGTCAACCAATCATTTACATACACCTACTATTAGTAGGTCCGTCGACCTACTTGTCCTTAGATAATCACCATACCCGAGCTACCAAGAGGCCATTATCATGCCCAAGCTACTTGGTGTAACAACTGTGCTACTCGAGCTACCTCCGAGATACCTCACCTGAGCTACTCTAGGTCAACTTACCCAAGCTGTATAAATGACAACTAGGGCTGGGACCGGTCCGGTTCCTAACGAATTTTTCAGGAACCGTAACCGGAACCGAACCAAAATAACTGGTTCGGTTATTACACAATTATTTATAGGAACCGAAAAAGAACCGAACCGTGTTATAACGTTTCGGTTCTTTGGGTAATCGACTTGTGAAAAAAACCGAAAATAACCGGTTTTGAGTTAATAACTGACCAAAAAAAATGCGACTCATGTGCTAAATGTATCATGAAAAATCGAGAACCGAAATGAAAAATGAGGAACCGAATATTATATACTAAGAACCGGAACCGATTTATATATAAAAATATATAAAACATGTATATTTCATATATATAGTCGGTTTTTCGGTTAATACACAAACATTTGGAGAGGAACCGAAAACCGGAACCGGTTTGTGCATAAAATAACCGGAATCGAAAAAACTGTTTTTTTTTTTAAATAACCGAACTGAACCGGTTATTCTCGGTTCGATCAGGTTCGGTTCTCCGGTTATCGGGTATAAAATCCCACACCTAATGA